AGAACACCAACTGACTGCCTCCTGCACGCCCCCCAATGGGGATTGGGCCCACAACCTGGGCATGTGCCCTGATTGGGAATCGAACTGGCAACCTCTTGGTGCATGGGTTGATGCTCAACCACTGAGCCACACCAGCCAGGCTAAATTCTCAATACTTTTTGAACATGGGACCTCACATCTTCATTTTGTACGGGGCCTACAAATTGTGTAGTAAGTCTTGGAGTTGGGAGCTGGCAAGAACTAGCCTTCAGGAAAAAGCAAGCTCATGCCTGGCCCTCACTGGGCCTTTAACTGGTGCTTCCTGACCAGTCTCTGGTCAAATACTTTCTATCACCAAGTAATTCAGAATAAAGGGAGCTTGGACTCACTAACCTGGGTCTGAGGGAAAAACAGAAAAGAGCTCTCCTCAATTGTGACATTTCTTTGAAGGCTCATATTTTATCCCAAAGAAGAAAAGAAAGTGATATTGCATGCTATTCCATAATATATCTTTTGGATACATTTAAAAAATTAGATAGGCTTTCCCCTCCGGGAAAAACTCATTAAGTACGACTGACACTTCAAAAAGATATACCCTCTGTACCCCTGGGGCATGAAGGTCTCCTGGCCTGCCAAAAACCTCCCTCGTTGTAGCAGTGAGGGGCGCACAGGGCCAGGGGAGGCGAGGCCAAGGTCCCATTCAGCAAGTACCCCTTTATGGGACTCCAACTTCCTCTCTGTCCTCACATCCTCCCCCTGCGGCCTCATAGGCACATTATGTAACTCATGGTAACTGACTCCTTTTTTTTTTTTTGCTCTCCTTTCCCTCTTCCAATAAAGAACCTTACATTTACTTGCTAGAACACAGCCCTAAAATTGTTTTATATTTTCTCTCGCAGTCTAGAGGCACCCTCACAGTCGGGCTAGTTGGCTTCTGATTAGGCGTCCTGGGTCCTGGCGGGGCTCTGCTCTCCTGGGCTCCATACCACCTCTGGGTCTCTATCCCTCTTCCCTGTCTGGACACAGGTTTATGGGTGGTGGGGTTGGCAGGGCCAATATTCAGCGTATGCAACGGGAACTCTGACAATAATGACAATCGGCAGGCTCTTTCTTACCTCTCAGGTTTGCGCACACAGTGCCCTCTTAGACTGCTCAAGGACTCCTACCTGTCCTCAGGTCTCAGTTTAGATGTCACTTCCTCTGGGAATCCTTCCTTGATATCTCACCCTCCCATCCCCCCTCACCACCAAGACTAAGCCAGTCCTACCACTGTACTCTTTCTTCCCCATATAGGAATTCTTGCCACACTGTACTTACCACATTCTTGCTAACTTGCCTGTATCCCCCTTCAATCCCACGATGATCAGAACAGAGACTCACTTGTCTTGTTCTCCTCTGTATTCCTAAAACCTGCTCTCCCCACCAAAAAAAAAAAAAAAAAATTATTAAATGCTGTTGAAGGCTAGACACTAAGTGATATTCGTTATCTCACCACAATTCTAGAAGGAAAGGATTAGTATTCCTATTTAACAGAAAGAAAAGTAAGGTTCGGGGGGATTAAGTTGCTCCAGGTCACACAGTTGGAAATGGTGTCACCAGGTTGTCAGACTTTAAAGTCTCTATGTTTAATTCCCTGCGCCAGTTGGAGTTCAATCAGAGAAGCAGAACCCTTAGGAGTGATATAGATGAGGGGTTTGAGAATTGGACCTTTAACCAGCAGTTTTTGGAGCTTGTCGAGTGGTCTGTGCATCTAGTGCTGGGGCCTGCAGTCTGCAGGACAGGTTGTTGGGAAGGAAAGACAGATGTGAAGTGGGAGAGAGCAAGGACACACGGGAGCCTGTGGGGACCTGCTGGAACCCCCAGGACAGATTGGTATCTGGAGAATGCTTAGCGGTGGTAGAAGAACCACCCCCTACAGAATTTGGGTGTTCAGAACTTCTTTAGATGGGGAACAGCAGTTAGAGTTGTCTGGAATATAGGGATGCTAGAAATGGGTAGAACATACAACAGTATGCATCTATTTAAAAAAATGAAACTGCTCATTGTCTCAATATTGTTTCTAATATGTGTAAAGAAGTATAATGAGAACTACATGAGAATGTAAAATAAAGCATACTATTCTCTCTACCTGGGCCCTCCATGTCTCCATCCTTGAACAGACAAATCTTCAAGAAGTCTTCTCTGGCCTCCACTCATACCAACCCCAACCAGACTTCCATTTTGTAATATACATCAAAATGGCAACTGAGTGGTTGTTTATCATTGAGTCTTCCCCAAGAGCATTTTAACTCTATTAAAGGCTGTTTCTCCTTTCCACCACGGTATTTACAGTGCTTAGCTTATTATTGGATGTTTAATAATTATTGACAGACTGGCTAAATGAATCAATCACAAGGAGACAAAATAATTTGTTTTGGGTGCTGTTTGAGTATATTTATAATTTCATTTTGTGGAAGTATTATTGAATGGACATGCTCTAGGCTGTTTTCCAAAGGATCACTGAAAGGATAATGATTCCATGAACTTACAAGTATCAACTACCGTATTCTCCCTTATCCACAGTTTCGCTTCCTGCAGTGTCAGTTACCTGCAGTCAACCGTGGTCTGAAAATAATATATGGAAAATTCCAGAAATAAACAATTAATAAGTTTTAAATTGCATGCCATTCTGAGTAGTCTTGAACTGTCCCACTCTGTCCTGCCTGGGATGTGAATAATCCCTTTGTCCACCATCATCCATTAGTCATTCAGTAGTAGCCTTCAGAGTTATCAGATCCACTGTTGTGGTATCTCAGTGCTTGTGTTCAAGTAACCCTTATTTCACCTAATAGTGGCCCCAAGCACAAGAACTGTGATGCTGGCGATTCGGATATGCAAAAGAGAAAAGCTGTTATAAGTGCTTCATTAAATTGAAAAGGTGAAAGTTCTCAACTTAATAAGAAAGGAAAAAATATTGCATACAACCCTATAAGATCCCTACAACCATAAATGCGAAATCACCAATACAATGATTATCCCCATTTTACAGAAGACAAAGAGTCAGCTCCTAGGTGATGCCAATGCTGTCCCTGGACCACACTTTGAGTGGCTAGGTTCTAGCCCTTCAGCCCTCAATCCTGTGTGCTCCCTACCTCCATTCTCTGATGGACTCTCCTGATCTGCTTCCCTCCTACCTAGTGCGAACTCCAGGGGCAGCCTACACCTTGCCCCTTTGCCTTTCTGGAACAATAGCCCTGGCGATCTCCATCCCTGTGCAGGTCAAACCTCCAGCCTCCAGCCACAGAACCGCTAAAGAAAACCATCCAACTGCCACTGCTTCTATAACAAATGTGTGATTTCTGAAGTCAAATCTACAATTCTTCACGAGTCAGTTCTCTTTCCCATTCCTTACTGTAGTTTTGCCTACATTCAACTAATTCCTCAAGCCTGAACCCCCCTCCTTTCAGGACTCAGTGAACAATGAGAGGAGAACCTTTTCACACCATCTAGAAGTCACATTTAACTGCTGCATACCTTTAAAAATCCACTCAAAAATCCAACAATATATGCCTGGCTGGTGTGGGTCAGTGGTTGGGTATTGACCCATGCACCAAGAGGTTGCCAGTTCGACTCCTGGACAGGGCACATGCCCAGGTTGTGGGCCTGACCCCCCAGTTGGGGGCATGGAGGAGGCAGGCAATTGATGTTCTCTCTCATCAGTTTCTATTTCCCTCTCCCTTCCTTTCTCTCTAAAAATCAATAAAGAAAAAAAAAACCAATCCAACAATATCCTATTAAAATGTTCCAACTCTTAGAAAATTCTGCTTACAGAAGTATTAATTAAACTAGATGATTTCTTTAATAAACACCTCACACAGTGACCCAGATCACGTGACGCTATAGTCTTAGCTCTTAAATCCCCCTGTTCTGCTGCCTGGGAGTCACAGGTGGCTTCGGGGTTCCTCAGGGCTCAGCTCCACAGTGGTATCTATCTATCTGCAACAAAAGGGGCCGGCAAGCCCTGCGGGCACATTCGATTCACCCTGGGCCGCATTGAAAGAAATCCTGTTTAATTCTTCCGGGGGGGGGGGGGGGGGGGGCTGGCACCACCATCTCTAACCTGGCGAAGAGGAATGTTATCGCAAATCAGTGGTTTTTAAACTTTTTACACTCACAGACCCTTGGCACGAGTCCTCATTGCCCTGCGCGACAGGTGTATGTGGTCTCTGCCCCCACCACAAACTGCCTGGGGTTTGGGGGAAGTCCTTGCTCCCCCAGTGTAAACTCAGACCGCCCAGCCCACCCGGAAAGAGGCTTTGTAGGAAGAGAGAACGGAGAGCGACCCAGAGGATCAGCGGACGCAGCACTGGCTTGACAAATACTGGCTCTACTTTCTTCTATGTGATTTTCCGTTTTAAATTTGCCTCTGATTTAGTCAAACTCATACACCATATATACTTGTCGGAAATGTTCCTGGGCTCCACACTTGACGGCATTCTTTCTGAAATCCCACGCGACTGCAGAGCAGGGCTGGGGAGCCGGCGCGGTCCCGGCCACTCCGGCCGCCGAGACCCTCCAGGGCCGGTGCGGGACTGCGGCGCCCGGGCCCGAGCCGCGGCGCATTCGGCCTCCAGGTGAGCGGGGGACGCGCCGCAAAGCCCAGCGCAGGAAGCCCGCCCAACTTTAACATCTCCAAATTTGCAGCATCTGGAGACACCAAATGCCGGAGGGATCCTCGGCGGAGCGCCCCGAACCCCGCCAGCGGCGGGAGGAGTGGCGGAGGCGAGAACACCCACGAAGCCCTGCAAAAAATAAAACTGTCGCCCGCCCGCACAGCCCCGCGCGAGCGCCAGCTCGCCCAGGTGCGAAGGAGGCGGAGGAGCCCGGGCCACGCGTCTCGGTCCCACCTAGGAGGGAACTCCGGCGCCTGAATGGGCCGGCGGGACGTCAGTCAGGCGACGGGGGCAGGTCCCGGGTGCGCCCGCCCCCTGGCCGGGCTATAATCGCCGGCTCGCTCCGCAGCCACGGGCGGTGAAGGTGCGCGCCTGGGCCGGGGTGAGGATGAGGGCGCGCGCGGCCGGGTGCAGCTGCCACAGCTGCCGGGCGGCGACCCGCAGCGGACACGCGGGGAGGGAAGGGAGGGGCGGGTGGCGGGATGGAAGGCACCCCAGGCTGCCCGTGTTCCGGTCGCACTAACTTCCGAAGGTGTTGCTTCCAACTTTTACCTCCTTAGGAAGCAGGGAACGATAGTGTCAGGACCTGACACTAGAGTGTCTGTGCCGGAGCTAGGAACCTCCATACCAGCCCCCAGCGCCCCTCCTCCCCCCAATTGTCTGGTCTCAGCTTTATTATCATTTTTATTCATCTAGAACATGGACTTCGCCCTCCTCTGGCTAGGGCTGCTGCTGCCTTTGGTAGCCGCGCTGGATTTCGGCTACCACCACCAGGAAGAGATGGAAGCGTTTTTGAAGGATGTTGCCCAAAACTACAGTTCTATCACTCACTTACACAGTATTGGGAAATCTGTGAAAGGTAGGGTCCGTCTCACGCACTTTTCCAAACCTTGCTGTCATTCATTAAATAGACCTTAGCTTCGCGTCCCCTCTCTAGGAAGCTACTCAGAGGCGCTCCAGACGGGTACATCAGTGCCTTGCTGGTTGGTTGGTTTCTGCTTTTGGGTGTTGTGTTGTGTTTTGTTTTGTCAGAGGAGTAGTAACAGGACGACCTGAGTTAGTTCCTAAGTGTCTCCACCGTCATTCGATGTCATTCAGTCCTAGGAGTTAATGATGTTCTGTCTTTTTGGATCTTGCAGACATTGGTTGCCTGGGATGTATATTTTGGTTAATTTTCTAGATAAGCTTCTGCCAAGGAAGTCCGTTTATCCAACGCAGGTCTCCCTTTTTGTTGACTTCTTTAAATATGATTGGGACTGTTAGTGTCATGTCTTTTAAACTAAAACAGTGCAGCTCTGGCTGATTTGGCTCAGCGGTTAGAGCGTCCGCTCGCGGACCAATGAGGTTTCGGGTTCGATTTTGGTCAAGGGCACCCAACCTCTGGTCAAGGGCACACACCTCGGTTGCCCTTTCTCCCCAGCCCTGGTTAGGGTCCTGTGGGAGGTAACCAGTCAATGTGTCCCTCTCACATTGATGTTTCTCTCTCTCTCTTCCCTCCCTTCCTGCCACTCTGAAGATAAGTAGAAAAATATCTTGGGGTGAAGATTAAAAAGCACCTAAAACAATGCTCTGATACTGTTTTTAAAATTATCCATTCAAATAAGACTAACTGCTGGATAATAAATATACATTAACAGTTATTAGCACTGCTAGCATTTTCAGGTTTATCGTGTAATTGCTTTATTAATTTAATTTAGAAACTATAACTTAAGTATAAATATGTAAGTTTATATAAAGTAGTTATCATTTTTATAGATGGGAATGTTGAATCATAAAGATATTAAGAATTTGGCCCAAGATCACCAGATGGTAAGTTTTATAACCAGGATTGTCACTGAGATCAGTACTTTAAGGCTGGGATGTTTGGCAGCAAGGCAATTAATTTTATTAGCTATTACTTCTTAATCCTTCTTTATTGTACTGGTACCCACAAAGAGATTACCAGAAAACCTAATGCTTAAATCAAAAGTTTTGTCCAGTTTACACAGTTTGGATCTCAACTCTTTATATCTTAAAACCCTAACTGATTTTTAGCTCTGAGTTTTTCAGCCAACTGGGAGTCTGTTAATTACCATATTCTTATTCTTCCCCTCAAATTAAGGTCAAGGTTTTTATATTAAAGAAGAAGTATTACATAAATTACTCATGTGCAATGCAAAATAAAAATCCTGGGCTCATGTGTATAGTGGTGCCTTTGTTTTTAAACATTGCCAAAAAGTTGGTGCCAGAATTACTCTATATTGCCCTATAATCCAAAATTATAGAGGTTGGATGTATGAGAAATCATTATTTTGAATCAGCATATCTATTCATCCTTTTGAAATCATTTTCCCCTAAGGCTAGAGAGGAACAATTTTAAAAGATCTAAGAATACTTATTATATTAATAAAGGAAATATAGAACACAACTAGCTTGAGTTATTGTTCAGTCTTCATTTAAACCACAAGATGAGGAGGATGTTGTTAATTATAAGTACTGAATTAAGTACTAGATTTGGCAAGTTTTTATTTCTTCAAGCACAAAATGCTTGTGAAAGAAAGCTGGGGATTCTTTTAATGCAAGCCAGCTATTTTGATTTGTCCTGCGTGATATCAGACCTAGATCAGCAGGCTTAATTTTTTTACTTTGTATGCACTCCTGTGGTTAAGTGACTGAGACGTTATCATATAAAAATAAAATCTGACACTCATGGTCAAATGTTTGCCCTGAGTATGTTCTGAATAATTTACTCAGATTAAGAAAAATCCCAAATCTGCTATTAGGTTCCATGTGGTAGGTTAAACTACACACTAGTAGCTAGGAGTCGGTTGCCATGGGATCTCTGCGAGTTAGTGTGAGTGTTGAAAGGCAGTGTTCCTCTGTTGACACTCTTCTCTAGATAGGCAAATTTTCCTGGCCAACCTGCCCTCTAGTGTAAGATAAGTTTGCTTAGCAAACAGGATTTATCATAAGTGATATTTATTTTTATTTTTCTGTTATGAACATGGGCAACCTACCCAGAAGGAAAAGTAATATTCCTACCTTGCTGAATACATCTTTGAATTTTTGTAAATGCATATTTCATATATTTTCGTTGTTGTAATCATGGATTCTATTCTTCTCCCCACCCGCAATTCTCATTATTTCATTACATATTTCCATGAATTGACAAAGTCTGCAGATGTGAATTGGTTACTATATAGTATTTTATCCTCTTGATTATCTGAATTTTTTTAGTCATTTGCCTCTTTGGGGCATCTGTATAGTTTCTGATGATTTTCTTTATAAACAGTGATGCTATAAAACCATTGATGCATCTCATGATAATTACCTTCTATTGTATTTGGTGATTTTTTTTTCAGTCTTGAATTTTGAAGTGTTTGAAAACTACACAAAACTTTAATGCTCTTATACCCTTTACCAAGATTCAGACATAGTAGACTGACCATATTTCAGTTGAATCTTTTGGAGAAACCCTGCTACCTAATGACGTAGTAAAGAAAATGTACATGAAACAAGAGAAGCAACTAAAAACAAAAAAACAAAAACAAACTAACTCTGACAACTGATTTGAGAAAAATAGTAAAAATTCAATGGACATTGGTTCATTCCTCTATTTAGTTAAGGAAGCTTCTCTACCCGCCCCGCCCCCCTTTTTTATTCCTAACTTTCTCTGTGTAGCAGAATACCTGGGACATATTCAGTAATTTATACATTTGTTTAATGGATTGCATATTTGCTGAGTAGATGCTGTGTGAAGCAAGGAAAGACATGTGTCATTTGTTCCCTGCCATCAGCCTGCTTTAAAATACAAATGTATTGCCTGGCTGGTGTGGCTCAGTGGTTGAGCATTGATCCATATACCAAGAGGTTGCTGGTTCGATTCCCAGACAGGGACATGCCCAGGTTGTGGGCCCGATCCCCAGTGGGGGGCATGCAGGAGACATCCAATGATGTTCTCTCTCGTCAGTGTTTCTGTCTCTCTTTCCCTCTCTCTAAATTCAATAAAGAAAATTTTTTATTTTAAATAATAATAAAATAAAATACAAATGTATTTATTGTGGTTTCTCTCTGCTTGGCTTTTCACACCTACCAAAATTAGTTTTAGGACCATTTTAAATGAGAATTCCTGCCATCTCTGTTTTAAGAGTCATATCTTGCCTTAGAACCTTTTCTTTATCTGATGGAGAAAGGTTGCAAAGGGCAAGGGGTAGATAATAAAAATATCTGTTATCAAGTGTTTTTCATGTACTAGGTGTTTTAATACATTATTTCAATCTCAACAACTCAAATTCGACATTATCCTCATTTACAGAACAGCTCAAACAAGACACAGAGAAGTTATCTAACGTGCTAAAAAGCACACAGCTGACAAGTGTTAGAGGGAGGAGTCAAACTCAGATTCACCCAACTCCCAAGCACATCTCTTTCCCTTTAAATAAGCGGCTTGGCGCAGATGGAGATGGTTACATGGAGACTGAGGTTGTAAGTGGAGGGTTTCACAGTCATGGTTGGGGCACATTTGATCTGGAAGTACAGCTTTTGCCAAGGATCTGTAGTTACGTTGTCTATGACAGTGCCCATTAGCCACTTGGTTATCGAGCAGCTGAAATGAGACTAGAACGAACTAAGATGTCCTAAAGTGACTTTGAAGACATAATACAAAAAAAGTAAAATACTCCATTTATATTTTATATTGATTAAATGTTGAAATGATAATATTTTAATATATAGGTTAAGCCTGGCCAGTGTGGCTCAGTGCACTGAGTGTTGCCCCATGGACTGAGAGGTCCCAGTTTGATTCCTGGTCAGGGCACATGCCCAGGTTTTGGGCTTGATCCCCAGTAGGGGGCGGGCAGGAAGCAGCTGTTTCTCTCTCTCTTCCTTCCTCTCTCTCCAAAAAAATCAATAAAAACTTATTAAAAAAAATATATGTTAATAAGAAATACTTAAAATTAATCTGTTTCTTTTTACCTTTTTGTGGTTATGGTTTTTAGAACATTTTAAATTGCGTATGTGACTTTCATTATATTTTGATGGACTATGCTGATCTAGAGAGAAATTTCTTAGTATTTTTCTGGGTACAAAAAGAATTCCAGTTTTTTTAGAAAAATACAACAAAGCACCAAAAAGAAAATTAAAATCTCATCATCCAAAGGAAACATATGCCTTTCCCCTCTCCCACTGAGTCAAATATCTTGCTTATCCATGCAAACATACTATTTAGAAAACTTGATTTTTAATGCCTGCTTTGTGTCCTATCAATGGATGTCCTATTGTTTATTTAACTCATACCCCACTGATGGACATTTAGTTTGCTTCTAAACTTTTCCTGTTATAAGCAGTGCCATAGTGAATGTCTTTGTAGCCAAGACAGCAAAAGTTGTCAGAGCATAGGCTTTGGAACCACAGTGCCCAAGTTCAAATTGTAGGTTCTTTACTTTGTAGGCAGTGTGAACCTGGGTTCTTAGAATAATTCCTGGCACATAATAAGTACTACATAAGAGCTACTGTTAGGGATACATTGGCTACTATTAGGGATACATTTCCAAAAAGGAAATTACTGGGTGTTAAGCAGTTTTATGTATTTGATACATATAACCAAATTGCCTTCCAAAAGGATTGTATTGATTTATAATCTCACAAGAAATATATGCTAAGAAAAACAAACAACTCTTCTAAATTTTATACTACTCATAAATTAGTACTGGCATTAATGGTCTGAAAAATGACTGTAGTGTTTGTGAAAGAGTTCAAAGTTTCGGTTATATAAGATGAGTACGTCTTAGGGATCTTCTGTACAGCATAGTACCTGTAGGTAATAGTACTGTACTGTGTGCTTAACAAGTTGCTGAGAAGATAGATCTTGTTTGAGGTGAT